AATAAAGTAAATCAGATCTTTTAGAATTTACTTTTCCTCTGAAAATTTATCTTGTATTTTTCTTCTGGAACATTAAAAAGACCACATTGCTTAGCGAAGTGAAAGATACAAATACTCAAACATTTGTGTAAAAGCAGGTAAAACAGCGTGTCTGACGAATTATTGATGTGTTCCCTGATGGAGATACAGGCTGGGTAAGAATGGAAAAATCTTCTGCCAATTTATTGGAATATGAGAGTCTCAGACCATTTTCAAGTAATCAATAGTGTCAAAAGACATTGCAAGTATTGAGAAACAACATATGTGAGTGACAGTTAAGCTAGAAATTGGATAATAGAAGAAAGAAAACAGTGGAGTTAACCTCAATTGCAAAATATTCTGATAAAAAATTAATTTTGCACTGTATAGGAAACATCAGAATTCAGGCATTTAAATTAAAAATGTCCATTTACCAGAATTTAATACATCAAATTTACTTAATATTAATCAGAAAAAAAAAGAAAAAAAAACTATCAAAATTATTTTTATATATAAATCTTTATATATGTAATGTATGATATGTTTTTTATAGATATATCTTTATATATGTAACACAGATAAAACAAAAAATAATATAGACTGAAAATTGAAATTATTTTTCCCTGAAGCAATAACATTAAAAGCTCAAACGCCACTCCCCTGTCACCTACAAAATTCAGTATAAACATCCAAGAAATTTTATCTTAGGAAAATGCTGGATCATTTCCAAGAATGAATAAATCATTAGTGCTTTATTAAAATTATTTATAATTTTAAAAACTGAAAGAAATAAAATAACAGCAAAAAAATTCAGTACAGTTACTTTTAGATAAAATCTTAAAGTTATAATTACAATATTTTCATACTTATGCATTCATTTTTGAATGAATTTTTTATCCGACATTACATCTAGCCAGCTCAACTGTAAATTGCTAAGATCACGATAACAGTATAGTACTGCACTTAAATTCAAAATGTCTTGGTACCATAGCAAAGAGCTCACCCAAACAATTACCATGAAAGCATTTATAAAAAAGGCACAGAGCAGCAACCTCACAGCAGTAGTAAAGTGACTGAAACTGAGCTGCCAGATCAGGACTGATAATATTGCTTATGATTCTTTGGATCTTATCAAGGAGCTCAAGGTAAATAGCAGGGGCACCAAACCATATGTGGCAGCAATATTCTAAGCATGGACAAATGGTAAACTAAACTGGTAAAATTCTTGAATAACATATTTAGTAATTCTTTGTTTAATTTTATGTTTTATCCTTTTTAATTTGAGTTGGTCAAGCCACAGCGACATTAGTCTTGGAATTACTTAAGACTTTGTCAAATTTGAGTACAATATTTTCCACCCTACAATCACTTGCCCCACAAATGAAACATTGCTAGCCTTTTTGCCATTGCTATTTTCATGACAGATATTCAGGCAAACTACATTACTTGGTTCCCTCAGTCCAGATATTCACAATTAAGGCCCACCAAACCACATACACTGAGTTGACTCATTCCATTGATGAGGAGGAAGTTCTACTCAGACATCTTCCTCCCAAGAATTGTTGCATTGTAGAACAGATGCCTAAGCTTCCCCGATCACTACACCCTTAATCTCTAGTCTATATTCTTAAAGTCTAGATTCAACTGTTATCTAGCCTATATATCCTTATAATATAGGCCTCTTGCACCCTCTGTGTATGACTTTACAACAACCTCATTAAGTAACACTACCTTGAGTGACTCCTAGCCCTTGTATCTGGTGAACAATAGTTAAAAAAAAAATTAAATAAAAAAATAAATAACAACATGTAGAAATATTGTGCATTATAGAGTTAGGCTAGGCCAAAATACTGGTAGTGTGTAAATATTAACTTCCACTTTGCATAAAAGGAATTGGGAGATTTTTTTTTTTTAAGAAGGTCTTGTATGATATTAGATACACTGTCATTCTTTGTTGAAATGGGAGGGATTTTAATAAAGTTAAAATTAAAAGACTTTTTTTTAGAATAAATCTAGCAGGAGATTATATTTGAAAAGCAATCAATGAACAGCAAACTTATGCTCATTAATGAATTAGAATGTAGATCACAGTGTGGCCCACAAGTGTCAAAAGACACACCCAATTTCAAGAGAATAGGTCTCATTAAGAACAGACCTACTTAAGGCTTAAAAAAAAAAAAAACAAAAAAAAAAACATCCATCCTCAATTTTCTTACCATAACTTATTTTCTGATATCAAATCACTATATTGTAACATTTTTTTATATACAAATGTCATTGATTTGTTTATAGATATTTATCTTATTGACTGATATCTTATTAACTGTTAAATTTCAAAAAGTTTCCAAATTAAACTGCAAGGTAGTCATGGTAATAATTTTCCCCTTGTTTTGATGATGTTCTTATTGGATGAAACATTGATGACAATAAAATTTTAAACATCCATTTAGTTTTCACATATTCGGTCATACTTTGTTCAGATATTTCATATCAGTCATTTTATCAGAACTTCTGTAGAATTGTCTTATTACAGAACTAATTGGCCTTAGTATATGATAGAAAAAAATAAGTGATTAAAACAATGTCAGAAGTATTTTCAAACAGGTCTCAAGGTCTCAATTAGTTCTCCAAATTTGAGATGTATAGAGATTAGGGGAAGAGAATTATTTGCATATAAATTTATATAATAGAACAGATGTTTCCACCTGAATTTCTGGGATAAGAAGTTATTATTTGTAGTTGGACTAATGTCCTCATCTTTGCTGTTATTATCACAATTTATCACCAATTTATCCACTAATCTTATTTAGGTATCAACATAAGAGGCTCAGTTTGAAATTCCCAGAAAGTTACCTAGATCGACTGACATCTGAAAAAGGCCAAAAGACACAAAAGCTGAAAAGTGATAATAACAAACGAAGACATTAGTCTGAATGTTAATATAGATAATACTTTTTCATTGAAATTAAAACGTAAAAAAAAAAAAAAAAAAAAAAAAAGTAAGTAAAAGTTTATTTTCCTACCAACATGAACAAATTCATATTTTAGTCTTAAATTCATAATATCCAAATTATAGAAGTTATTTAATTGATTGTTCCATTGAAGGCAGTGGACATAGACAATAAGAACAACAGCTGCGGTTAGCACCAGGTTTTACGAGTCATCCTTTTTTTCTGCTACAAATAATCTATCAAAATTATAAAGTTCCAATTTTAAAGAAAAAAAAAACCAACACTTTGTTCAAGATTTTTCAAAATTAATGGATAGGAACAGGAACCCAACAGTCACTAATCCACTGCTCTGAGCTGATTTCATACTAAAGACAGAGTTGAAGAAACAAAAAAAAATGTTCATTTTAAAATATTTATTTTTAAATTTATTTATTTTCATATATTACATTATCTATCAAAAGAATCTTATGCACCACAAAAAGAAAAACCAAATGCTTTGCATATTTGTTTTTAACAGAATTAAAATTAATAAGTTTTGTGTGATAGAAAATGTGATTTTATGGATTTTAATTTCATTTTGATAGTTGTAAGACTGTATTTAAGCTTTTCAAAGTAATGATTTTCTTCTTCACTGAAAATGGCTATTGCCATCATCATCTCTTGGGCAGGTCCATCAAAATCAATAATGAATATAACATGCATGGCAAAAATAAATATTTCTGCTTTTCTTTCTCCCAGTTTTACCTGATTTTTTTCCCTCTCTGCCTTCCACTGGAAACCTTGTGAGTAGAACAAGTAACAAATGTAGAAAGTTAGAACAAGTTTATAATTTAACCTTTTTCTTTCTTCACTTCTATAACCTACATTTACCCCTAACAACAATAACATGCCACTGAAGCTGCTTTTTTTTTTCTTTTTGTCAAGGTCCCATCCCATTGAAATGATTAATACAATGTGTGAGTATATGCTTATATGAAGAAAAAGGATAAAAAAAAAAAAGTAGTCTGTATTTAATAGGTCTTCAGAAAGAATTTATAATGTAGACACCAATAAATGAATTAAACTAAAAGCAGGTCTTATACATTAAGAATTGCTAGTTTTATCAGAATTAACTGTCATTAAAGACAAATAAATCCTCAAAAAGAAAATAGTGGAAAAAAAAAACAAAAAAAAAAAACCAGCTTTTCAACAACTGCTATTAAAATGAATCAATAACCTATTTCATGGAAACTATATTTGAATAACAAAATCTGTTTCGATAAATTTAAGAGATAAAAATGGAAATATTATAATGATGTTTGTCAACAATATCCGAATCTGAAGGAGTGGTCGATAATTTTTCATATATCACTTAACAAGTTCTTGTCAGATGACTAACTTAAAGAAATTTGTCCATGGCATGGTGGATCTGAAACCTCTTCAATATAGCAAATATAGATTATTCATTTATTTGTTAAATTAACATGGAATATTTAGTCTAATAATAAGCGGCTATCAATTTAAAATAAACAGAAACTCGAAGATTTTTAATTTTTTTTTCATTTGAAAAAGAATATAAATATATCAACATATTATACAATGATTCAATCAAACTAGTGTTTTCAACCTGGTAATTATCACAGATTTGTAACCTCTGGCTTTCTTCAGGTAACTGTCACAGTTGGTAATCTTCCAAGAATTTCTAATCAATCTTCATTCTATCCAAGTGTTAGTTAAGCTAGTGGGAGTTACCTGGTGATTGTGAGTTCAGTCTTTGGGTGGATTTGATTTTAATGGATTCATTTTCTACAGTTTATTAACCCATTGCAGAAAATATTTTTCAGGTTGTAAGTATGTTTTTGTAGATAATAAAGATTTAGTGATACAAGTCTTATGAATTAACCCATAGTTAGGAGGGGAGAAGAGGTGGATTCATACCTTTCCAAGGGTATTTGTGCATAAGTGAATATAATGAATCCAACTAGAATTGGAAATTGGATCTCCAGTTAACAATTCTGAACAATTAAACATTACACCACCTGCACATCCAAGCTTACAACACCTGGTATTCCCAAACTATCACCCATCTAGGTACATACTAGGCACAATGTTGCTTAACTTTGGTGTTCATATGGGAACCACTATTTCAACGTGATGTGGCCATTTGCCAGTCTTTGGGTTGAACAGTGAAAATAGTTATACTATTACTATGGTTCAATGGAAAAGATAAGGACAAATTAACTCAGAAGTAGTAATTAATATAAAATAACTTCTGGCATGGACAGTAGAATGAGAACACTCTACTCCTATATATTGAATAAAGTGTTCAGTTTAAAATTTCCTGAAGGTTACTCTGATTGACAGACACCAGAGAACAAAAGTTGTGATGATAAAAACAAAGATGAGGACAATTGTCCATAATATAAATACTGTAAATAATAATTCCTCCTCATCCCAGAAATTCAAACAGAATGCAATTAGGTGATAATAACAACAAAGATGAGGATATTAGCCCAAATGTAAATAATGATAATTCCTCATCCCAGAAATTCAGATAGAAAGCAGTTAGGTGATAATAACAATGAGGACAGTTTATGCACCCAACGACCAGGAGGAGCGGGTCTCATTTTTTCGGCAGTTGGGGATGTTCCTGGTGGATTCAACACACCTAGTCTTAATGGGGGACTGGATGTCATCCTGGACCCCAAGTTAGATAGGGGGCAGGGAGCTAGCAGGAGTAGGGGGTGATTGTAGCCTGGTTCATCTGATCAAAGAGTTTGGTCTCGACGATAGATACCAGGTCGGTCACTCCGGAGGGAAAATGTGGACATGGGCTCTTAATTGGACTTTTGCCCGGGTAGTTAGATACCTGGATAGAATGTTAGTTAGAGGAGCCGACATAAACTTGTTAGATTGTCCCACTTTCCACTGGGTAGGCCATTCGGATCACAAACTCATTTGTGCCCAGATGGCATTGGATCGTAGGCCTAGAATGGCTGGTTACTGAAAGTTCAATCTGTCTTTACTGGACAGGTGGGACTTCCAGGAGCAGCTAACTAGCTTAGTGCAGTGTGAGCGGTTATCGGGAATAAGTGGTGGGAGAGACTTAAGAGTAGGATTAGGTCCTTCACCACTGATTTCAGCAAACAGCTCGCCCTAGATAGAGCTGAGAATGTGAAGACGCTTAAGACTAGTTTTTCCCAGGCGGTGGCATCCCCTAGAGATAGCCTTAGCTAGGGAGGTCCTGGAGCATTTGACTAGCGAGCGCTACATGGGCCAGGTAATTAAACATAGGTTAAGCAAGATGAGTGCAGATTTGCACAAGGAAGGGATCCGTCTTGGGACCGATCAGCACATTCATGAAGTCAAAACTCCAGAGGGACACACTCTTCAGGCCACTGACATGAGGTGTTTCGGCAGCATTTCGAGAGCTGCTTTACCAAGGTGCCTGGTCTTTGTGAAGACGAGTTTCACAGCTATTTGGCCGACTTTCCTTGACTTTCGTTGACTGAAGCTGCGAGGAAGAGGTTATGGAGAGTGAAGTCTACATGGTATTGAAGAAGGTCGGCAGAAGCAAGTCACCAAGTCTGGATGGTTTGCCATATGAATTGTGCTTGAGGCTGTCGCACATCTTTGTCCCGATTTTAACAGTTGTGTTCAACAACTGGTTCCAGCAGGGAGCCATCCCCGACCAGTTCATCAGGGGGTGTGATCATGCTGTTGAAAAAGGGCAAAGGTGTTGGGGGAAATTAGATAATTACAGGCCCATAACTCTGCTAAACACAGAGTTAAAGATTTTGGCCAAGATCCTGCAGTGTTTGCAGTCAGTTGCCTAGTCTCTGTTGGGTCCTGAGCAGACTTGTGCAACCTGCATCTGATCCACACGATCATAGAGGGTGTAAAAGACGACGATGAGGCCATGCTAATCAATTTAGATCAGTCCAAGGCATTTGATAGGGTTGACCATTGCTACCTTACTGCTGTCCTGCTGGCTGCCAGATTCCAACCTGACTTCTGCCGCTGGATTAGCCTCCTGTATCGTTCACCCAGTGCTGTGGTGTAGGTGAACAGAAAGCTGTCAGGCGCCTCTGTGTGCTGTCTAGGTCGGTTCATCAGGGTTGCCCACTGTCGCCCCTACTTTATGCTTTGGCGTAGGGCATGCAGTCCAGCCTTACATGGAATCACTGTTCCTAGAGGGGCTCGAGCCAGAGTTTCCACGTACGCCGATGACGTATCTGCTTTCGTGTCATCCTGCAGCGACATTGAGGCAGTATTGAAGGAGCTTGATCAGTACAAAAAGGTGACAGGGGCCAAGATAAACTGAGAGAAGTTGTCCGACTTGCAGTTAGTTGCCTGGAAAGGGTCGATCTTCGGTTGGACAGACGGTCCTGTCCACATTCTTGGAGTGTTGTTTGGACCTGACCTCCAACTGGAGAAAAATTGGTCTGAAGTACAAGCAAAGGTCGACATTGCCGGTCAGACTAAGCGTGGACAGAGGTTGTCCATGAAGAGCAGGGCAGAGGCATGTGCTACATACGTTTTCCTCAATTGTCATACTTCCTCTCTGTAAAGACTATAGGAAGCTGCTCAAGTGCTCGCTATCCTATTTTCTGGAGGGGACGCAAGCATCAGGTTGACAGAGAAGTCTGTGCACAACGTCCGTGTCATGGGGGCTGGGAACGTCACACATGGTGAACCACAAACTCGTCTCGAGGTTGGCTTTCCTACGCCACTCTTTGACAGGAGATTTGATTATATCAGGGATTGTTCAGGATGCGTTCCCTTTCCTTTCGATCAGTCCCCCACCTATCTCGTGGGTTGAGCACCATCGTAAGCCCCAGGATCAATCAGATTCCCTTCGCAAGTGTCACCTTTCACAGCCTAGGAAGGTCTTCTATTGTTATTTAGTGGAGGGAATCACGAAGGATCCTCTACGTGAGCGGATTGACTTGTCGGAGGAGGAGTTTTACTCTTTCTGGTCTTGGGCGCCAGCAGCAGATTATCTCAGTAACCCTGAGTTTTTGCTTACCTGGCAATTGGCTCAGGATCAGCTGCCTCTCAATGACAAGGCCTTCATATGGGGCTTGGCAGATTTACCAGACTGTGAACGGTGTGACCTTGGTTTAGAAGAAACGGCTATGCACGCCTTCTACCATTGTCGCCGGGTCCGCCCCTTATGGGACCATGCTGGCGAGTTGACAGCTCGTCTCGCTCCTGAAAAGTTTGTGCTCATTGATCGTGCATGCATGTGTGACAATATGTCACCCCCATATTCTGGGGGGGGGAAGAATGGTGTTTCTTACGCTGCTGGCCACTGCCCGAATAGTGATTTGGACAACGAGACAGGAGGAAGTCTTGCGAGGCAACCATCTTTCTCATCAGGATCTAATCTGATTCTTTGAGCATCAGCTCAAGATGAAGATAGAAAACGATAGAAAACGCTTGCATTCGACAGCCTTCAGTGAAAAGGTGGGTGACTGAGGCGAGCTTGGTTCGTTTGAACGGGGCTAGCCTTGGTTTTCTCTTCTCGGTCAACCTACGTCACATCAGGGTGGTTTCCTGCAGAGCCCTCCCCTTGCTTAGGTTAGACAAGCTTTTTTCTGTCTGACCCTTCTATTGGCCTATTTAGTTAAGCATCTGACCTCGCAGGGTCTTCTTTCAGATAAGTAATATGGCTTTCGCTTTTCTAGGTCAACTGCACATGTATTAAAGATTATTGCTGAAAGCTTTAGATAAGAATGATAAAGCTCAGACTGTTGCTTTGAATATCTTAAAGGTTTGACATACTGGTCTACTTCACAAGTTGAAAGGTTATAGTATTTCTGGATGAATTTTTGAACTGATTCAGTCTTTTATCAAATATTTTTATCAAAAATGTCTTGTCTTGAACGGCCCTTCTAGAGCTCTATTCTAGGACCTGCAATGTTCCGAATTTTCAACAACCTTTCCTGATGACAACTATTTACTCTTGTCTTAAGAGTAAGTCTGAACATTTCAATAAGGCAAAATTGGAAGCTGATCTAAAGAAAAAAAAAAAAATTTACCTATATTCTATTACCTGGAGCAAGGAATGGCTTGTTAATTTTAATGCCTCCAAAATAAAACTGCTCTAATAATCGTCTTAGAGAACCCTTTCTGCCTTCTTTTGGCATGGCTAATGCTAACCTCAAGGTGAGTGACTCATTGCACTTTCTTGGGCTAACATTTTCTTCTGACATCAAGTGGAAAGATTATATTAAATCAATTGCTCAGTCTGCTGCTGAGAAAGTTGGTTCTCTCTGTTGTGCTAGACAATTTTTCTCACCCAAATCTATCTTCATCATTGCTTTGAATATTGCTGCAACATACAGTCTGGTGCTCCTGCTATAAATTTAGAGATTCTTGATAAAATCTAAAAAGAATCTGCGAAGTTATTGCCTTTTCTATAAATACTTTTATGGTAATTGTTCTCATGAACTTTCCTCTATGGCAATTTGACTTTATGAATTTAAGGCAGTACTTGATTGGTGGCAAAATCTCATCATCTTACAGTCAAAATGGCTAGATGTAACTAATTTCTAAGCTAACAGTTTCTTCTATTGCACTTCTTGCTTATGGAACCCTTCTGGCTTATTTTTCAGTCAACTTTGAAAAATTTAAACGCAATGTCAATCATTATCTTCTGTCTTAATTTGTTATTTTTTTCTCAGTGACCGCTTGCTTTGCTTGGGGTGAAATAATTATAATACATATGCATCATATTTATTTACTGTTATATCACTTGTCACATTTAAGGCAATGTTTACAACTCATGTATTTGTAGTGTTTTGCCCTATGCTAATGAATTTTAGGCTCTATGTGTGGACAAGTTACATCTGGTATGAAATGATCATTCTATGATCAGTGGATATGTGGTGCCAAATTTAGCATGGTGTCCTTGTATGAACACCAGGACATCCCAACTATGAATTTGTTACCAACCACTCAAAATGTACAACAAAATAATTTTTAATTGAAGCAGTGAACTCAGCTGAGCATTGAAGGAAGTTGTGGCAAAAATGGCTGATGAAAATTTGGAGAGAAGGCATCAAGTATCTTGAAGTTGAAAGAAGACAGTTTGGAGAAGCATGGAGAAGTGGGCTTCCAAAACAACAAGCCCTTATATCAAGCTTGGTTGGTTGATT